CTGCTGCAATGGACCCCTGAACATGACCCTGTTCATGAGTCCCATAGTCCACTGTATCCTCTATCTGCTCGGCTGTCATCTCATCTCCTCCCAGTGTCACCTCTATAGGAGCCTCAATGGATACAGTGCTCTCTGGAGTGGGTGGAGTCACATCATCCTCCACCTGCTGTGATATCTCTCCTGTCTGGTCTCCCTCCACCTGTTGAGGGGCTCGAGACCTCATCATGTATGCCTCGTCAAATGTGACATCTCTGCTAATAACTATCTTCTTATCGTGTGGATCCCATAACTTGAAGCCTTTGACTCCATCTCTAAATCCCACAAAGACTATTTTCCTCGCTCTCGGATTTAATTTACCATCACTAACATGATAATAAGCTGGACACCCGAATATCCGAAAAGACTCATAGTCACTAGCCACCGAACCAAACCAACGCTCCAAAGGAGTCTTCCAGTCTATCGCAGTGCACGGTAACCTGTTCACAAGATGGCTCGCATAAACTAACGCCTCGGCCCAAAAGGATCTAGGCAATCCACTCTGCGTCATCATACACCGCACCTTCTCTAGCAAGGTATGGTTCAATCTTTCAGCCACCCCGTTCTGTTACGGTGTCTCTCGAACTGTGAAGTGTCTTCTAATGTCGTGATCCCGACAAAACTACAGAAACAGATCACTCTTGTACTCTCCACCATTATCTGAACGTAGAGTCTTCACCTTTCTACCTGTCTGCAGCTCCACTTTCTTCTTCCACTCTACAAAAATATCCAGGACCTGATGTTTATGCTTCATAGGGTATACTCAATTCCTCCTGGAATAATCATCAATGAAAGTGACAAAATAGTTGGCCCCACCAAGAGATGTGTTCTTAGAAGGACCCCAAACATCTGTATGAATATAATCCAATGTACCTCGGGTGTTATGAACAGCGGTGTCAAACTTCACTCTAGTCTTCTTCCTAAGTACACAGTGCTCACACAGCTCCATCTTGCAGGTCTTAGCACCTTTTAATAGTCCCTATTTTGCTAATGATTGTAGGGACTTATCTCATGTGTGTCCAAGTCTCATGTGCCATAAGGTGGTAGTGTCCTCCTCTGTAGTGATAGAAGTTGTCAGACCTCTTGTAACTGTCTTGTCTTTCAAGTAGTATAGGTTGTTTTCCCTGACACCTCGCATCACCACTATAGAACCCTTCGTGACCTTCACTGTAACATCCTCTAAGATCACTCGATATCCAGCTGCCTCCAAAGTCCCAAGAGAAATGATGTTCTTCGTCAACTGCGGTACAAACCTCACTTCCTTCAATTCCCTCACTATACCATCATGCATCCTAATCTGGACTGAACCAATACCACCAATAAGACATACGTGATCATTACCCATAAGCATGACATCCCCTCTTTCCAGCTCCTCAAAGCTAGAAAATCACTCCCTCTTAGGACAGATGTGATATGTAGCTCCCGAATCCATCATCCACTCCGTGGAATCCGCATAGCAAACCGACGGTAATGCAGGGCATGAATAGCCTGAAGAATCTAAATCTGAATGCTCACCAATAGTGCAGCTTTCCCCTTATTCTTCCCGGCTTTTTCTTTCCACTTTGGACAGTCAATCTTCCAATGTTCTTCTTCTTTACAATACCGACATTGATTTCTACCAACACTCTTATAGGCATTCCTATTCTTTGACTTTGAGCGGTTGAACTGACGACGGTTTGGATCTCAGCCTCGAACTGCTAATGCATCTCCCGATGCCTTCTCGGAGGGTTCAACATCACTCTTCCTCAACTCATAGTTCACCAAAGCTAAGGTCTCCTCCTTGTAGCTGACTATAGTTCTTCCATTGATCATAGTGAGAACGAACGTTCCATAATCATCTTCGGGCAACGAACACAGAAGTAGCATCGCCTTGTCTTCATCCTCTACTATAATGTCCACGTTGGCCATATCTGAAAGTAGCTTAGTGAAGTTGTTGACATGCTCCCTGATGGAAACTCCCCTCTTCATCTTGAACTGGTAAAATCTCTTCTTCAAGTGAAGCCGATTCTCAATTTTCTTCGTAAGATATTTCTCATTGAGTGTTTCCCACATCTTCTTCGCCGACGTCTCGTTCATAACATCATAAATAAGATCCAGCGTCAAGCATGACCTAATAACACCATAAGCTCTACTATTCATCTTCCTCCAAACCTTATCCTCCATATCTGCGGGTTTCTCTTTTAACTCAAGAGTCTCTTCCAAATTCTGTGCATTCAAGGCATCCATCACCTGACACCTCCATAATCCAAAATTGATCTTGCCGTCAAACTTCAGAACATCAATCTTTGTGTTATTGATGCTCAGACTCTGTATCGCCTTTGTAAGAGACGAACCTGACGTGCTTGCATCTCCCATGTTGTCGATCTAGCTCTGATACCAATTGTTGTGCGCGGCGGAAGCTTTCTTGTGCAATCACGAACAATAACTCGAACTAAGTCACAACTAATATGCAAACACAACCACAGCAAGAACAAACAATTTACGTGGTTCGGCAAGTTGCCTACGTCCATGGGACAAGGGGGAGAGAGTTCTTACTATTAGAAATCAGAGAATACAAGTAGAGTTACAAATCTCTCAGATCAAACCCTAAAACAAAACTCTTGATCTCTCACAACTCTCCCACAATTGGATGCAACAATCCTCTCTCAAAGACTGTTCAAATTCGTCCTTACTTAACCCTAACAAATTAGGTTTAGGGTTATATATAACTCAGAAACGAATCGGATCAAAAACCGAAGCCCAGCCCAGAAATCATCGACGGTCGACCGCGGCGGGCGACCGCGCAGGTCTCGCGGTCGACCGCGGCCTAAATCATTTACAGTCATTCGCGGTCGACCGCGGCGGTCGACCGCCATCAACTCCGAATCCCAGTAAGTCTGCGTGCACGTTTACGGTCGACCGCCAGTCTGTCTGACTGATTCTTTGCTTTTTCCTGTAATTCTTCACTAGGCTTGCAGTATGATCCATTTACGAGGTTGGAGCGCTGCGTCCCTGATGAATCTAAGCGATTACATTGTTCTTGTTAACATCTAGAATTGTTTGTCATACGGAACATTGGACCACATGAAACCGGATTAGTTGAAGAAGTTTGGTAATTGAGCTATACCAGCGATGGAATACGTTTGATCCTTAATGTGGACGAAGAAGAAAAAAGAGGATAGTGAAAGGTTGGCCTTTGCTTTTGGTCTTGTTTGTACTCAAAGCTCGAGTTTGTTCATCATGTTGCGATAAAGTGACGACTGTGTTGAGGGAAAGGGGAGCTAGCTCTGAGGGATGCAAATTGCTTTCAACATTTTAGACGTGGAGCTCACTCTGTGAGGATTGCGGGTTAGTCCCCTTATAAATATCTCCAGGGACTTGAATTTTTGGTTCGCTTTGCATCATGTCTTAATTTTTAAAATTAAATCCTTCCAATACTATCAACTAAAAATTTTCACCAAAGTTCTTTCCTAAGATTGGCTCTAAGAAAATTTCACGTTCACTGAAAAATGCATGGCCGCTTAAACCAGTATTTGTAGCCTATAAAGAGGGTTGGTCTTTAAAATAGTTTGTTACAGTAGCTTTCCGCGCGCGATGGAAAATAATTTCTCTTAATTGAAATGATTCTATACTTGCACTGTTATCAAATAAGCTAGCTGATTGATCTGTTTCAGTTATGTTTCATATGAAAATGCACAGAGTGTTGTCGATCGGTGTGTCTAGAGTGCATTACCAACGGATTGATTACTAGGTCAATCAATCTCTAGGTTCAAAGATCCTGTGACCGTGGGCGTATAACTCACTGCTAAATGATTGGTTGGCAGGTTTAGGTGATCACTTCCAGCAACAATTGAAGTTCAGCCATTGTGGAAAGGCAGTAAGTAGTATCTAAGAAAGGATTGTAATAGGGAGAAAATTAGAGCTTCTTGTTGCTAAAATATATGTGAAGTTACTGAGTATAATATATACTAGTGAAATTATTCTGAACATTGAATTTTACTAGTTTTCATGCTCCTTCAAGTAAATGATGTGAGAAAGTAGTCGATATTGGGCTCCGTCGAAAATCTATATCCATTTCAAGATGTAAACTCTCCTTTTAATTACTGGCAATTAGTCATCACTTCCTCATGAACTCAAGTTTCTGCGATATGATCTATAAAGAAGGAGGCTCAAGCGTATAGGAATTATTTTCTGAATAATGCGCAAACTCCAAAGGTCTTTAATCAATGTCTCATGTACTGTGAGTTTTATGTGTTCTCTCTTAAGTCTGAACTAGTTAGAATGGGCTAAGAACTGAACAAAGATGCATGAACCCCTTGCGTTAGCATACTTTTGAGTGTGGTTGCGAAGGAACTTAGAACTCTTCAGAGAAGGAAGATATATAGAGGCCTTTCCAATGGGATGAATGGAATCATATCGGTTGCTCCTTTCCCATCCCCTTGATGTAAATCGAAGCAATCTTCTTTGGCTATGATTCGCCTTGATTCCACTAGGCAAACACATTGAGATCGACGCTCATTTTATCCGTCAACAAGTTATCAAGGATAAGACAATTCTACTTTCTCATGTATCATCCGCCGACGAGCTTGCAGATTTCTTCACAAAAGCTTTACCTGTTTATCGGTGCCAGTTTCTTGTACGCAAACTCATTTTGTTTGATTCAACATGAGTTTGAGGAGGAATTGTTGATAATAGTGTTAGTAGTGGGTTTTTAGTCCCACATTAGTTGTGAGAACACACCTCACCCTTCTCTATTTGTATAATTAATATATGTGCACACTCAATATTCAACTTAAGAGAAATTTACCCAAGACTCTCTCTCTCTCTTACTTTAATACTATCTTCTTGGCTTATAATAACTAAAGAAAAATGGAAGTCATATGAACATGAAACTTTCTTGTCTACAATACTAAACCCTTCATTTCATTAGACAAAATAGAGCAATTTTTATCGCTTACGGAGCATGAAAATTGAGTTGACATTATTATAAGAGACAAGACCTGACAATAATTAAACTGAGCATTCTGATTCAATAATTTCGTTTCAGTATCCAAAAGAAAATATAAACTCAGTTCGTACGCTTGAAGGATGGCAATGAGCTCCAACTGACTCCTTGATATATATCAGCCTAGAGCATAAAGCGGACTTAAGATAGGGGGCTTATGTGGCAATTGGCTTCCTCTTAAAAATCCTTTGACCGGGGGCTAAAACGTTCAGAGGATCGAATCTACTCTTGAGATCTTTGAATCGGTCCCATTTTCCACCAAAATGAGCTCCCCATTCCTCTTCGCTCGTCCAATATGGCAAATACTGTTTTGCTCCCATTCCGCCTCCGTCGTTGCTCAAATCACTCCTCGTTGGATTATTTATAGAAATTGGCCGTGTGTTGGGCTCAGATGTGGCGATGCTTATGACCTTTTTGTTTTGGCTAAGGAGAGTCTCGAGACATTGGGAGCCACGCTCACAAGTTGTCCATTGGAGCACAGAGACTATATATACAATGTCTTCCTTTGGATAGACTTCAGGTAGCATAACCGACATGTTTAAGTTCCACCTGAAAAAAAAAATAGCTTATTAATTAGGATTTGAACTAGACTAATTGCTCAAGGGATAGTTCCTTCTTTCAAATAATCATACATATGGCATCAGGCATATCAAGAGATATATAGACATTGCACTTGGAGTAACAAAACACCACCACTTTCTTTTCTAGTATTTGATACGTTTTAATTTGTTGAACGGACCGAATTATTTTAATTAATTTTCTAAAGCATTTCTACTTATTTTGATTAAGGAATTTGTAAGATCTGCCTAAAAAATCATTTTCATTTTTGATCATGGATTAACTGAAACTGAAGGGTATATATGAATCACATATGTCCAGGCTTTAGGTCTATTCAAATCAAAGCTGAATATATGTTCAGAATTTAGAAACTAAATTATAGACGTAATATGTAAAATACATATGCCAGAAAAAATTTGTAAGATAACTTACTTGTGCCTTAGGATTGGATATATGATTATAGGGCCACCAATGTAGGTACTTGAGATAGACTGGATGACGAGGTCTTTAAACCTCACTATTTGAGCCTTTGGTACGAATAAGTTGAACCACGGGTGTGGAATATCCCACAGCCCTCTCTGAGTGAGCTCGTCCACTGTCGCCTTCACCCGGTTGAGGAATTCAAAGAATGAGACATCAAACTCAGTCGTAGACAATCTCACTGACCCTAGTTGTAACACTAGCTGATCTAACGTCTGAGATATCAGAAAATTTTGAAGGCAAAATGGTCTAGTTAGCATAAAAGAAGGAGAAATATTTATAAGTATTAGAAGCACAAACGGAGATCGATATACATTTTGGACAAGGTTTGTGTCATTATAATATAATGCAAGCTCAATGGTATAATAGGGATTTGGTAGCTCAGTTGTGGTTGTCGATGTGCTTGCTTGAAGATTCACAAAGCCTTCGAGATAGTCAACCTTTCCCTTGGAGATGAGGAATTCTTGATCTTTTATAAACTGATCAAAGTCACCATAGATTATTTCTACCCGTTTGACCTGTATTTTTGACAAGTACGTTAAGATTTTAAACTCCGTTGCTTATTCATATACAAATAAATGAGGATTAACTTACCATTTCGGGAGCGTGCTGTAATATGATTCTGGCTCTTGTTATAATGCCAAATTGCCCAAGCCCTCCTAAGACGCCATAAAAGAGATCCGAGTTCACAAGCTCAGAGCAAGTGACTTGTTCTCCTTTGCCTAGCAGATGAGTTGTTCGTAGAAAGAATATAGAGTCAGCTGTCACACTTTCCAAAAGAATTCATAGAAAGATCGAAAAAACTTTTAGCTGTTGGTGTTAAACCTGATTTGTCTAGGATTCTGAATCCTAAATCTGAGTGAGAGATGTGATTAGTCATTTCTTTGAATTATTAGGTGAATCTCTATGATGCAAAGAAAATTATCCCTAAGCACTGTGTATACTATTCACCTGAACTTTTTTGTGATAAGAAACCTCACGATATTTTATAGAGAAAAATCTTTCTTTTCTCAACTTGGGTTAATCATATTTAAGCACGAAGTGAGTACGTCTGTTGATCTGTATATATGTCACCTTGCCAAAAGTCATCAAATGATTTGGAATTTATTATCAGACTAATTTATCCATGTAGATCGAGATGCATGGTGTCTCCTCTTGAAGATTATTTTTTAGAACCGAAGCACTTTTTTTGTGCGGTTTAAAGAAGTGTTCACTGTGAATACTCATACATTCAATTGCATGCAATCTACGATCTACACAGCTGCCTAGAAACGGAACACCAAATGAGCTAGGTAGACATGATTTTTGCCCATCCATCAAGTGGTTACAAATCAGTCAATTCTATGAAAACTTTGCCGCCACTTGATGCATAGGCAAGGGGTTAATAGCCCACGGACCCCTTGCGATGTCGTTGTTTGGTGTTACTATGCATGTAGTTTCATTGTTGCAGATAGACCTCCTGGGTTAAGTTTTTTGACTATATTACCCTGGGTGGAATTTTTGCAGATTTGGAATTTATTATCAGACTAATTGATCTTAAGCTCGTGCTTGGTTTGTTTCTCCCGGACAAACATATATTCAAGTAGACTTGGTCACAAGCTCAAGCATCTCTTTACACTAAACCAATTGTTTAGTATAGTAGTCAAGTAAAGTTTTGGCAAAATTTTTACCTGTGACTACATCTAGTTCGAGCACATTTGATATCTGTGGCCCATATCTGTATGCTTGGCCACTGACGCCAGCATTAGAAAGAGTCCCGCCGACTGTTAGATACAAATAATCTGTCCATGTCCTCGGGGTGAGCCCATAGCTCAAAGTCTCTTTGAGCACATCAACCCAGAGAGCTCCTCCTCCAGCATCAACATAGCCATTCTCTACTTTAATGAAGTTCGGAAGGCTTGTCATGTCTATAACAATACCACCGGGGGCTTGAGCCTGGCCATATGTTGAGTGGGCTGCCCCTCTTGCAGCTACTGTTACATTGTTTTGTGCTGGATCGGTGGAGATAGATTTCAGGAGGAGGGAGATATCTGTAGGACTTGTAGGCCTTAATACTGAAACCGGAGATTCCTCAATGATTTTTCCATAATCTTGAGAATAGGTCAGGGATGGAGAAAAATCTAGATCGAAGGATACATATGAGGAGGGAGAGAAAATGAGGATTGAGAAAATGAGAAGAGAATGCGGGCTAAAGGGAGACATCATTTGATGAAGGGCGCTTGTTTGAGTGCTTTTTCGCTAGGGTTGTAGTAGTAGTATCTATGCATGAGTTGAGTAACTTATTTTATGGAAGAAATGAAAATATTGTACTGTCCTTGTAACAGCTAATTCTCACATGTATATAGGATATAGAAGTTGTGTTGAAGCAAATGTTGTTCCCTTGATTTGGTGGTTGACTTTTGAATCTTAAGCTACCTTAAAGTAGGGGTTGTCAACGGATAAGGGATTTCGTCGGTGGGTCTTTGAATTTTTTGTTATACCCAGTTCAAACACCAAGTTTTTTTTTTAAAGCGTATCAGCTGGAACCAATCGTCAGGATTGCTGTCAAGTATGCAACTTGTACTTCAATACTTGTAACTTGAAGAATGGCCGGTAGAGTTCATTAGGGATCGTATATGCCAAAGTTTGTCGTTGCCAAGTAAGAAGCTTTTTGGATAACTTAATACACACTGCAGACATTCATATATACAGATACCCCCCGTACATGAACATGCGAACATATACAGGTCAGGTTTATTTCAAGAAAATTAAAGCCCACCATTTTGGTTCCGGTGAGCTGCTAGGACTCTGACCACTGATATTCCAGTCTCTCCAGTTGAGCTCAAAGCTAGGATCGGTTCAGGTTTAAACCTCAACAATCCTACCTTTAAGACTGAGTATCTCATAAGTTTATTTTAGGCATTGCTTCTGCACTCAAAGTGACCACAACGTTTGCTATCTCTTACCCTGTACTTAGCCTCCAAGGATGGCTTTTTTCCCTTATCCATGCAGCCGCCCTCCAGCTAATTCACATGGACAGATGGCAATGCACTCAAGTGGTAGAAAATTTGCATAGTTCATACCATAAGCAAGTGCCGACTGCAGATTTTGAAGCTGGCAGCTGAAGAGATGAGAAGGTTATCAAGAATGTTTTGTACTGCAATGATCATTGTTCTACATCTTCTGAGACTTCTGATGTACCGAATAAAGCGGAGGTTAACTCCACATAGCATCTTCAGGGAGTTAGTCTTTTGATATATGTTTGTTCTCCTTTCTTATTATACACAGTGTTTACTTGTCATATTTTACTCTTATGACATTAGATGATCATGCAATTACCTCCGTTTGTATCTCATTCCATACTTTAATTTATTTTCTTTATTTCTTTATTATAATAAAATTGGTTGGCAATACTTTCTTGAGAAAAAAAGTACGCCCCGTAGCTATAAGTTTCTCATATGAGATATGCCCCGACTTAATTCAGGTTATGGTGACGGTCTCCTTCAATAGATAATGTCGAAGCTAAGAATTGGTCGCCTTAGAGGAATGTTGTCGTTGCAAAGACGACGCATCTGGAGGCTTGATGTCATAAGAAGCAGCATCACAATATAGGGTACATGAACTGCTTGAAACTGGGAAGAGCCTTGGGGGGCAAAAAAAGATATAGAAGAAAAAGAATATACATTATTTCACATAGAAGGACATTATCATTGCTACGAAAGGCATTAGATCTTAGGCAAGGTATCCCTTTTACTTTTAGAGGGTACTCGGATAGCACAACAAAATTTTGAGTTTTTCTGTTTTTATGATTATTACTAACAGTATTGCTTTCCTTTGTGAGGGAGATTAGCGAAAAAATGAAGAGGAAAAAAAAAGAATATAGCTAGATTATAGAGGCTTTTCGCTAAAAAGGGCGGTATCAAACATAAAGAGATGTTTCTCCAAACAAGCATAAATTCATTCAATAAGAATTCCAATGTAGTTCCCTGAAAAAGAGGATTCCAATTTCTCATCCACAAGCAACCATCTCGAAAGCCGCATAAGGTTAATCATCCATAGGAATATCTCTTGCACGGATGCCTAGAGAACATCTCTGTCAACGAACGAAAGGAGCTCTCTTTTTTTGGGCAACAGCAAAAAAAAGGCAGCAAAAGATTAGGAAACTGAAAAGGTTTGGTACGCTCAGAGAACTTTGTTTGTAAAATGATCACAACGGTTGATATAGTGAAGTATCCCTTTGCGGGAAATATAGCTAGAGCTTTTTCTTGAATAAATACCAAGAATTGAACCACCAATTCTTCTGCTGTGGTATTCGATTCCACGTGCATCTTATCATTTGGCATCAAAATTTCCTCGTGGAAACGTCTACGGTTTAATGAAAGCAACTATAAGCCAAGAGCTTAAAAAATTGCAAACCAAAGTTGGCTGATTCTAATATCGCAAATATTACACACACTTTGGATAGAGCCTGCCACATTCCAAGGACACTTTGCATTTATAGTTTATTACAAAAAAGATAATCAGTTACAGTTGCCGTCAACAACAACTTTGTAGCGGTTGTAAAACTTAGCGCTCACTTTGATTGTATCATTTCATAAAATGACTCCATAACAAAGAGCCACGGTAGCACATATTGATGTCTTTTGCAAATTACAATCTTAAAGGTACCGACAACCCTATAACATAACTCCATGGTTCTGAAATACAGAATCCTGAATGTCCAGAATTCATGAAAACTCTTAAAATTCTAGTAACTAACTTGACATTTAACTCGAACAACGGAAAAAAGAAATTCACCAACACATCTAAAGCATCGCAAATAAGAGCGAACCAATACCCACACTCCAATCATGGAAGAAACTCGTCACAGAACATATGTGCATATGTCCAATGACCGTGTGACGATATAAACATATGAAAGTAGGATTAGTAGTCACAATATGAACATAATAAAGTAGAATCACTACTCGAATACAAGATCAAACTAATCAAAGCCTGGAGAAGTTTACAATGATGGGCAGAAGGTGAAGAGTAGCTTAGATCCACTATAAGACATAACTAGTGACAAAACAGCCTTCCTACTTCAGTCCATATCAGCTATCAAATATACAACTTAAAACATATGAAAAAATGCAACTGATAGATCCATCACGCCTATTTTACCATAAAGTTTTCCCCAGACTTGCAGCTTCTAAAGGATAGCCAACATAGTAACATCCCAAAATACACTCACACTGAAGGGAAGAATTTATTGAGGTTAAAAGGCAAAGAGTAGAACTCCTCACTCCTTGTGTCAGTCTTGAAAGATCGAAATTTATCCCACCAGTGATAACCCCTATCTTTCCTTGTTGCATTGTCATGCCTATGGAGAGTGTTGTCAAGAAAGAAAGCAACAAAGCCCGCAACGAATGGCTCAGATGAGAATATGACATTGATGATGTCATTGAACTGTAAAAGAATACACCATCAGTTCGGAGAAAATTAACCGTAATTATGCAATGAGGGCTAGGATTTCACTTACCCATCGTGCACCTGTGTGAACTGGGCCATAACCTGCAACTGCAGTGTATTCGTTGAAGTACTGGGGAACTGACAAGCCCATGAAAATTGAAAACCCTAGGATGAACTTTGTTCTGAAGCTATTTAGGTTGCAGAATTGTAGGAAACTTAGACCAACAGAGCCTGTTAATTAAAAGTAATCAGTATTGTTTATATCAACAGCTGCAATAAAATTTTTGACGTTTTTGCAATATTCAAGATATAAGTAACTTAATAAGTCTGTAGAGCAATAATACATACCCACATATGCAAAGAAAAGACAATAAAGAGCTGCAATGATAGGCGCAGGAATGGATGCGAAAACTGCCCCGAATTTACCTGAAATTGACCAAGAAAAAGAATAAACCACATCGACATATTAAGTATATGCATAACCTTTGAACCAGTACAACCATATTTATACAGAAAGATGATTTCAGATCAGAATTTCGAATTACTTATAATCTTTTATACTTAAGAGGATAAATTATATTAGCAAGTCACTTGCAAATATGTGACATCAAAGGATACCCTATTCAGAAAGTAACTATACGTAAATGGGAAAAACCAACATTTCACAGGTAGAAATGAAAGAAGAAAATTTGTGTATCAAGTCAAGTAGCAAAGAATTTGAACCCTGGCTACAATGCTGGGCGGTTTGATGTGGGCATGTAGTACACACTCAAGGAACAGATCCAGCATAGTGAGAGATTTGTGTTTTTTGTTGCTAATTCTAGAAGTTATAAAAGATCAATTCAACACTATCTATATCAAGTACAAATAGGACGAAACTATTAAGCATACCCAAAATAGAAAAGAAAATCATAAATCCTGCAGAAATTTGGACAACTCTTCGGCTTCCTACACGTGTAAGAGCTAGTAAACCTGCATTTTCACTGTTCAACATGAAACAATGAGAGCTAGCAAGCATTTCCTTATAATCATGGAATCCTGAAAATAAGTTACCATATTAATCTTACACAGATACAGTGGATCCGCTTGCCGTTCCAAATAATCCATCCAGCAAGATACCAATCCCCTATAATGACAAAAAAATTAGGATCCTTTTATACTAATAATTGAAAAGAAAAAGGAGATAGAAACTATAGAGCAAAATCAGCATAATTATAACTCATGTCAAGGCAAACACTCCAGTACCTGCCAGCCAATGCCGCGACTAAGAATTGATGGAGGCAATGGTGTGGCACTTGCATATCTTGAAACAGCAATGAAAGTACCAGTGGACTGCATGATAGAAAAATAAGATTTTACGCCGACTTCTGGACACGTACTTGATTTATAAAGAAAAATATGTTCTGGTGTGTAAAGAGTTGGGGAACATGATCAAACCTCTACAAGACCAACAAATGCAGCAGCCATCATTGCAAAAGCTTCACCCGCATCAAATGTGGGGGCTCCCCATTGAAAAGGATATGGAACTCTAATCCTAGAGACATAGCATTTTAACAGAAATCGATTTTAATGACATTAACTAGATTAGAAAACCAAATAATCAAGACACAACTATGCAAAACTAACCAGGGAGCTCCACCAACAAGCCCAGAACGATCAGTACGACAATGCAATTGAGTTTTTGCTGCTGCATGCTTATATGCACCGCCAACTGTAAGCAAGTAAGCATAGAGCCACACAATTGCCACTGAGAATATTACAGCAAACCGGTCGAATACAGGTTTCTCTGCATGTATTAAATGGGGTATATACTGGGAGGGAAGATAATAACTACGTTTAGTGAATCACAGTGTGAAGTTTAGGTAGTGCAACGAATTTTACCACATTTCAATACCTGGGAAAAGATTATCAACAGAATTATCTGTGGAAGCCCAATCTCGATACACTTGGCAACCTGGGCAAACAGAAGTATCAGCCAACTGTAACAGATCTTCTACCACTTCTTATGTAAATGATACAATAAACAATCTCAAAAGGTTCACAGCACAAACTTGTGAACAACAATGACAAGCCTGCAATTAGAAAAATAAGTTTCAAAAAACAAAATGATGCTTACACCGGGAAAGCCTAACTCATAGAGGCCAAATCCGGATAAGGCAACTAAAGGAACTGCTGATAGTGGACTCAGGAATCTGAATTGCACAAAAATAAACAAATAAATAAATGTCTATAAACAGAAAGATTGTAGATTGGTATAAATGGAATGCATGCTAGAGATTCATAACTAACCTAGTGACATTACGCCAAAGGCCACTGAATCCTACGATAATCTGAAGTGTTGAAGCTACAATTAGAGCACCCTGTGTTCCTCGCATTATACGTACGAATTTCTAGTACAAAATTAAACAGTCAATATCTAAACAAAAAGAAAAAACAATAAAGAGAAATATTCTTCAGTAATAACCTCATGAGGATCAGCTATATCACTATAGCGACCAGCCAAGATGATCGAGATCGTAGGAACGACAAAAGTGTAAGATCCTCCAATCACAGCAGGTAATCGAGTTCCAAAGAAAGTTTGGAATAGTGTGTTCAAACCAGCAACGAAGAGCAAGGTTTGAACTACTCGAGCTTTCTCATCCTATGAGAATTGAAAGGCGTGTTCAATTAAAAGAACCATAGGAACTGCTGCATAATTTACAATACACTGCATTTTCAATACACTACATTTTTATTTCTTAAAAAAGTCATACTTACATTGCCTCCGCCCATCTGAGGAACAAGTGCAGTAGGAATGATAACTGTTGTCCCAAGCATGACAAGGTAATGCTGGAAACCCAAGAGAATGGCCTCCGCTGCATTAGATAGTGAGATTAGAGAACACTAACTAAGCCAAGTAAAAGAGAATTGTGTATTAACCCAATAAAAAACAAGTAGTAATGTGTTAAAGAGAATATGAAACCAGGCAGAATTGCACAAGTTGCAGAAAAAGAATCCATAAGGTACTCACATCGCAATTAAGTTTTATGCAAGTTAGAACTACAGCATACTGATGCAATGCTACACTATAAAATTTCCCCAGAACAATGAAAATCCAAGAACATTTTACTATTAAATAAAAAGATAACAAAAAACAGCATATTGGAAACCAACAAAATTGGCTACGCTGCACCATACAATCGCGATGAACGGATTTTAACATAATTGTAGACATATATAAAAGTGAATGCAACAATAAATTTTGCTTGAAGAAGAGAGTACAGTTAGCTGCACTATCAACAGCCACAAGAATATTTGTACTGCAGAACCTACTTACAACTAAACCACAAACAAAAAAAAGGAAAAAATAGACAATATAATGCGGAACAATCCCATGAAGCAAACACATGCTAAATCATGCCACTAACCAAGCAAAAAACAACTCAATGATATTGAACTACCAAAAACAACTTAGTGGGGATCAGGTTACAACAACTTTGTTCAATTACATCCAATAGCGACAACAAAAAATAACCAATCTGATAGCATGAATGTTAATCCATGAGAAGGACAAACTAAACAAATAAAATTAATAACAATGATCCCCTTGAGACTAAATTTAATGACATTAACTAGATTAGAAAACCAAATAATCAAGACACAACTATGCAAAACTAACCAGGGAGCTCCACCAACAAGCCCAGAACGATCAGTACGACAATGCAATTGAGTTTTTGCTGCTGCATGCTTATATGCACCGCCAACTGTAAGCAAGTAAGCATAGAGCCACACAATTGCCACTGAGAATATTACAGCAAACCGGTCGAATACAGGTTTCTCTGCATGTATTAAATGGGGTATATACTGGGAGGGAAGATAATAACTACGTTTAGTGAATCACAGTGTGAAGTTTAGGTAGTGCAACGAATTTTACCACATTTCAATACCTGGGAAAAGATTATCAACAGAATTATCTGTGGAAGCCCAATCTCGATACACTTGGCAACCTGGGCAAACAGAAGTATCAGCCAACTGTAACAGATCTTCTACCACTTCTTATGTAAATGATACAATAAACAATCTCAAAAGGTTCACAGCACAAACTTGTGAACAACAATGACAAGCCTGCAATTAGAAAAATAAGTTTCAAAAAACAAAATGATGCTTACACCGGGAAAGCCTAACTCATAGAGGCCAAATCCGGATAAGGCAACTAAAGGAACTGCTGATAGTGGACTCAGGAATCTGAATTGCACAAAAATAAACAAATAAATAAATGTCTATAAACAGAAAGATTGTAGATTGGTATAAATGGAATGCATGCTAGAGATTCATAACTAACCTAGTGACATTACGCCAAAGGCCACTGAATCCTACGATAATCTGAAGTGTTGAAGCTACAATTAGAGCACCCTGTGTTCCTCGCATTATACGTACGAATTTCTAGTACAAAATTAAACAGTCAATATCTAAACAAAAAGAAAAAACAATAAAGAGAAATATTCTTCAGTAATAACCTCATGAGGATCAGCTATATCACTATAGCGACCAGCCAAGATGATCGAGATCGTAGGAACGACAAAAGTGTAAGATCCTCCAATCACAGCAGGTAATCGAGTTCCAAAGAAAGTTTGGAATAGTGTGTTCAAACCAGCAACGAAGAGCAAGGTTTGAACTACTCGAGCTTTCTCATCCTATGAGAATTGAAAGGCGTGTTCAATTAAAAGAACCATAGGAACTGCTGCATAATTTACAATACACTGCATTTTCAATACACTACATTTTTATTTCTTAAAAAAGTCATACTTACATTGCCTCCGCCCATCTGAGGAACAAGTGCAGTAGGAATGATAACTGTTGTCCCAAGCATGACAAGGTAATGCTGGAAACCCAAGAGAATGGCCTCCGCTGCATTAGATAGTGAGATTAGAGAACACTAACTAAGCCAAGTAAAAGAGAATTGTGTATTAACCCAATAAAAAACAAGTAGTAATGTGTTAAAGAGAATATGAAACCAGGCAGAATTGCACAAGTTGCAGAAAAAGAATCCATAAGGTACTCACATCGCAATTAAGTTTTATGCAAGTTAGAACTACAGCATACTGATGCAATGCTACACTATAAAATTTCCCCAGAACAATGAAAATCCAAGAACATTTTACTATTAAATAAAAAGATAACAAAAAACAGCATATTGGAAACCAACAAAATTGGCTACGCTGCACCATACAATCGCGATGAACGGATTTTAACATAATTGTAGACATATATAAAAGTGAATGCAACAATAAATTTTGCTTGAAGAAGAGAGTACAGTTAGCTGCACTATCAACAGCCACAAGAATATTTGTACTGCAGAACCTACTTACAACTAAACCACAAACAAAAAAAAGGAAAAAATAGACAATATAATGCGGAACAATCCCATGAAGCAAACACATGCTAAATCATGCCACTAACCAAGCAAAAAACAACTCAATGATATTGAACTACCAAAAACAACTTAGTGGGGATCAGGTTACAACAACTTTGTTCAATTACATCCAATAGCGACAACAAAAAATAACCAATCTGATAGCATGAATGTTAATCCATGAGAAGGACAAACTAAACAAATAAAATTAATAACAATGATCCCCTTGAGACTAAATGAGCAACTGGATTAGTGCTCAAAAAAAAAAGCAAATTAATAGCATCAATATTATCCATGAAAAGCACAAACCACAGAAAATAAAATAGATTAAAAAAGGATCTCTTTGAGACTAAATTAACAACTGGGTTTGTGTCAAAAGGATAAACAGACAGGGTTTCCGTCAATTTCATCAAGAACAAAAGTACACTGTCATATACAATATTACACTCACAACAGTCAAATAAAGCATCTCCATCTATTATCAAAATAAAATACAAATTAAATTACAGAACAAGAAACAAAATTTAAACTGCAAGGACTAAAAGAATGAAGTCTTACGCCATGGAGGAGGGCTAGTGATGCAGTAGGAGACATTGGGAAGCTGATCCTTCACTGGATGAGGCTGCAACTCGTCCTGCTTTGGTTGCGGGGCTCCACCTCCAGCCATTTCTCTCTCTCTCTCTCCTCGCTCTTCCTCACTCTAAAAACCAAAACCCAACTCCAGAAACCCCCCAACAAAAATACCCACAAGTCTCTACTCCCCAAAACCACACTCTAACTCAAAGAAAACTACCTTTACTGACCCTGAAACAGACTGCAAAACAAAAGCAAGAGCAACAGAGCAAAACCCACTTAGAAAAATCTATCAGAAACCAAAAATTAAGAGCAAAGGTATTAAAAGGGAAGAGATGCAGACCCTTGAACAAATAAACCCAAAAGGGGAACCCAACCAAAATCCCAAAATCAGGATGATGATGATGATGATGATGAAGAGAGTGGAGCTAAAGAAGCAGGAAGAAAAGCAGGAGGCAGCCTCCCTCAATTGACTAACAAAGTTGGGGAAAAAACAAAAGGAAAAAATTTTACCCTCTCTGATTAGAAAAAAATAATAAAGAATCTCTCTGTGCTTTATCTCTTTTTCTTCTGCTTTCTAAGCTGGCTGGCTTCAACCCCAAGGAAAGAAGAAAACCCCAAAAGTGAAATAAAAACAATTTAATGAAAAGGGAGCAAATGGAAGGAGCCCGGGGGAAATGTAACAGTAATAATAATGGTAATAATAATGTATCAGTGAGTAATTATTACCCCTTTTTCTCTTTTACAGTTTTACTTCTTCTTCCTTCTTCAACTTTCAGTAGACAGAACGCTACATTGGGCTTCACACTCTCAATACAGTTGCTGTTTGTGAAAAGCGAGAGGGAGTTGGTAGAAATTAAATTAAAAGCAAAAAAGCGGAGCCTATTTTTGCTTTAAAATGTGTTTAATTTTAAATAAATAATTGAAGGGGGGTCAGCCGACAAAAGTTCTCTCGCCGAAAGACGACCGAGGGAGTTTGGGGCTTGAGAGTAGAGAGTTGACGGTCAGCCGTTGATTTGGGTTTGTGAGTAAGAGAGTTGAAGATCAGCCGTTGGTTTGGGGTTTCCGGAATTTTGAACAGCTGTACATCCAATATCCTCACATGCCACATGGGACCATTCCACACTCTATAGTCCCCTCGTCATAGCTCTCTCTTGTTATAGAGTAACTTTTTGTAATTTTGGTAAAATATAACTAAGTTCACAATTCTCTAATTTCTCGAAAAACCACCCACTTCTCATTTCACCGTTTCACTGAGAAATTATTTCCCCCCTAAAATGCATGAAGCCAGCTAGGAGGATGACATGGGTTGTAGTATTGTCTTTTGTTCGGTCGTACAGGGATACGAGGAGGAGCAGTAATCAATTTGAACTGATTAGACCAAATCATGTAGATTTTGAAGCTTTAGTTTGACTTTAGAATATATTTTAGTTAGTTTCATTTTCAGAAAAATTCTAGTCTGAACCAACCGAATCAATCACTCTCTCAATTGTTTCATTAGTCCATACATTTCTAATCTGTTTTCTTAATTTATTGTTTCAGTTACCTTGCACCGTTATTTCATCGATGATTCTTTATCTGATCTTTTAATATGTATCTTTTTTCTGGATCAAAATAGATTGTTTTTTTCCTTAATGAAATTAGTCCTGTGATAATTGGGAAAAAGTACCTAAATTTTGTTTTATGTTAATGTTTCTACAACTTACATATCTTCAGTTTTATAACTACCGGCAAGAGATAAACACAAGTAGAGGTTGATACATGAAATCAGAACCCAATTGAAGACGGAAGAAAAAGGTATAGATACATTTTTTCCTACTATGTTTTTTCTTCAATTTTGTCCTTCCTTTCTGATCTGATGGTAGCTTGTTAAATTTACTAATTTTATCTTGTTAGTTACTGCTAATTTGGAGGTATTAAGGACTTACCAATTTGATTTTAGAAAAAAAAAACTACTGATTTGGAGGCATTGTCAAAGTCTAAAAGGGGGTAAAATTAAAGATCAGCATTTTTGCCGTGTCTATTTTCCCCTTGACGTTGACCGCTCTCCACCTGCTACCCCTCACAACTTTATCTTGCACCATCAATGGGAAAGGGAAAGGCCATCCAATTCTTGGAATTTTCTCAAATCTTGCTGTGTCCATTTTATTAAAATAAAAAGATAAAAATTTCGAATTTACTCAAAAGCTTTTTTTTGGAAGACAGTTGTGATGATAAGGCGTGTAATCGTTAACATATATAAAAAGCCCTTGCAGCTCTCGCTTAGGCCCCGCTAGGTGTGTTAAACGTTCGAATCGAATCGAATATTAAGCTATTCGTATTTATATTTGTTTAAAATTATCGAATTCGAATGCGAACTCTAATATTCATATATGGAGTTTTTCGAATTCGAACTCGAATACTTGGTATTTGATAAATATTCACGAATATTTTTTGAATATCAAAGTATATTTATTCTGGTAAAGAATTTAATTTTCAAATGGTATTTAAATTCATAAATAAATATTATTCATGTTTAATCTTATGATATATTACGTATTAGTATATATATAGAGTATAATAGGATGTAGTATATAGTTATATAAAGGTATATATATAGTATATATGTATAATAATGGTATGAGTGGGTATAGGGTAGGTGAGTAGTGAGTTATATGGTAGTATATATATATAAATTAAAATTTTTATTAGAAAATAGATTTAAGATGATTTAATCCTTAAAATCAGTACATAAAACTTAAGTATAAATGATAAATAGGTTAAAAATAAGACATCATATGTGTAATAATATAAATAATAAGTGATCAAATTTTAAACATATATTTGATGGACAAAAGAATCAAATTTCATTATTAAACTTAAATACTAAAAAATATTTATTTATTTTATGATAAATGAAATACCAAATCGAATATAATTATTTGGTTTGCAAATTTTTCGGGCGTACAATTTTGCCTCTACACTTCTTCGATCAGTTTTGCGCCTCGTCATCGTAGGTGCTACGATGCTAGTCGCACGTATCTGGCCCAACGAACACGTCTTGCTAGGAAACCGGGAAAAGCCTGTCATCAAGAACAGTTCCTTTCATAATTGCGTCCTCCGGGTTCATTTTCATAATTTAAGCTCTCTCTCTCTCTTTCCAAATCAATCCACCCCTCGTACTTCATACTCTCCCTAATAATTACATTGCTGTGGGTTTTCAAGTCTCTACAATTGCCAAAAAAAAACATCTCAAAGATAAAGAAAACATAAATGATTCTCTGATTCTAACTCCATGTTTTGAGATGGGAATAGTGAAGCTAATCTCTCTCGTTATTCATTTATTTTCTTAATTTTTTTGATGGGTTTGTGCTAAGGTTTTTAACTTTCTCTTTTTTTTTTTCTTTTCTTTCTTTTCCTAAATTATCATCATAAGTTTCTTTTTGAATCTTAGAGCAAATTTTGTGGACAAAAAGTAATTAAATAATTATTTTGGATTAAAAGTAAAATTGTTTTGTTAGATGTTTTTATTTTTCAGGAAGAATCTTTTATTGAAATAGATAATTTCCCTTTGAGTTTTTAAATGATGGGAATGCTTGCATAAATTTCATGCATTGAGAAATCGTAACCATTCAATGCTACTATTTTATTATTATTTTATTTTTATATTTTTATATTTTTATTTTATTCGTTTTATGATAATGCTCTGCGGTGGGAATGAGGAGCCATTCAAGTGATTAACTAAGCACATTTGTATTTGTAACCGTATGTGTATATATAGTTAGGTATATATCTATATACATGTTGTATATGTGTGTAGTGATGAGTATGTGTTAATGTAAGAGAGAGAGTCCTGGGTAAATTTTTCCTTGAATTGAATATTGAGTATGCACATATATTTATACAAGTAAAGGAGGGTGATGTGTGTTCTCACAATCAATGTGGAACTAAAAACCCACAACTAAAAATATTAACAACACTATTATCAACAGCACCCCTCAAACTCATGTTGGATCAAAACAAAGTGAGTTTGCGTATAAGAAACTGGAATTGATGAACATGTAAGGTCTTTGTGAAGAAATCTGCAAGCTCGTCGGTGGATGACACATGATGAAGTAGAATTGTGGTATCCTTGATAACTTGTTGACGGACAAAATGAGCGTCGATCTTAATCTGTTTGGTCCTCTCATGAAATACTGGATTATTAGCAATTTGGATGACACTCTTATTATTACAGTATAGAGGAGTAGGAGTTGAAATAGAAATACTAAAATCACTGAGAAGACGTCGAAGATGAATAATCTCTTTAGCTGTTGTGGACATTACACGATACTCTGTCTCAGTGCTGGAAAGAGCAACAACATCTTGTTTCTTACTCCACCAGAAAATTAGAGAATCACTAAGAAATATATAATAATCTGTGGTAGACTTCCTGGTAGTGGGATCACCAGCCCAATCAGTATCAGAATATGCACAAAGCTCTAACTTGGATGTAGCAAGAAACAAAAGAGAGCGAGTGCTAGTACCCCAGAGATACCGAAGAATCCGTAATAAGGCAGCATAGTGTACAGAATGTGGGGCACTAACAAATTGATTGACAATGCTAACAACATGAGAGATATCAGAGATGCACAGATAGACCAACTGGCCAACAAGATGTCGATATCGGGTAGGATCAGATAGAGGCTCACCATCAGTAGAGCGAAGTTTGACATTCTGTTAGAGTAGAGTATCGACAGTTGCATCGTCAATTAGCTCAGCTCGATGTAGAATATCTGAGAGATACTTCTGTTGAGATAGTAGTACACCTCGCGGGCCTTGAGAAATTTTTAGATCAAAAAATACCAAAGAGATCTAAGATCTTTCATATGGAACTGTTGTTGCAACTGAGATTTTACGTACTGTATACCAGCCACATCATCACCTGTAATGATCATATCATCTACATAGATGAGTATAAAATTCCGTCACGCGATGTAGTGCGAACAAACAGAGAAGTATCTTGATGACTTTCCATAAAGCCCGCCTTGAGTACGATATCGCGGAAACACTCAAACCAAGCGCGGGGTGCCTGCTTGAGACAATAAACAGCACGGCGAAGGAGACATACCACTACAAGAAATTACATCTTTAACGAAGGGATTTCCCTTCGTTAAAGAGCTGAAAACCTTCGTTATTATATGCTAACGACGGGGAAAAAATCCCTTCATCACCCGTCGTTGAAACCCTCTTCGCTAAAGGGTCACGAAGGGATATACTATCCGTCGTTATAGAGTCTATAACGACGGAACATATTACCGTCGTTAATATTTACGACGGTAATTATCACCGTCGTTACTATCAGTGACGGGGATATTTTCCCGTCGTTACCATCAGTGACGGGATATTTTCCCGTCGTTACCATTAGTTACGGAGATATTTTACCGTCGTTACCATTAATTACAGGGATATTTTCCCATCGTTAAAGACTAATTAATGACGGTTGGATACCGTCGTAAAAGTCCTCATAATGGAAAAATTCCATTCATTAATAACATCAATAAATAAAATTCCACCATCCTCAAATATTCAATACTAATAATAAGAGTTAATATCCTAATTGTTCCAAAAAAAAATACATGAAACTATCTATAACAAATT